CGTGCCCGAGATCCTGAGAGGAGAATGGAGGGGAAGGGATTGCGGCGTGGCCATCCCCTTGGGGGGTGATTTCTCGCTTTCTGTCTCTCTGTTTCACTCTGTCTGTCTGGCGAGCGCATGTGCCCTATAGCAAAAACAAAAACAAAAACAAAAACAAAACACCTCTCCAAAAAAAAGAAAGAAACTCATGCCAGAGACGTGTGTGTGCATGCCCAAGATCCCGAGAGAATGGAGAAGGGATTGCAGGGTGGCTATCCCACACAGGGGGTTATTTCTTACTTTCTGACTATCTCTCTCTGTTTCCCTGGTGAGTGCACATATCCTATGGCAAAAATCTCTCTTAAAAAAGAAAGCTACTTTTGGGGCCCACAGCTAGTGAAGTGATTAAGATACTAGACTCCCACATGGTCAACTGCAGTTCAAGTCCTGGACGTGGAGGCTTGCTTTCTCACTTTCCTTTTCTCTCAGGTCAAAAACTTTAAAAAATAACAACAATAACAATAATGACAAGTAAAATTAAATAAATAACTTTTTATAAAAGAAAGAAAACTACTTTGGGGGCCAGCAGATGGCATAATGGTTATTTTGCTGGATTCCCACATGGCCAGTTTGAGTCCTGGGTCCAGTGGCTTGAGAATCATGCCTGGGTGCATGTATGTGTGCGCCCAAGATCGCAAGAAGAAAATGGAGGAGAGGGGACTGCGGTGTGGCCATTCCCTGCAAGGGGTTATTTCTCACTGTTTCTCTCCTGCGTGTACATGCACCCTAAGGCACAAAGAAAGAAAAGAAAAAAAACTCTGAAAAAAAACTTAAAAAAAGTCCCAGACTTGGTGGCTTAAACTCACGCCAGGCACGTGCGTGCCCAAGATCCCGAGAGGAGAAAGGAGAAGGGATTGCGGTGCGGTCATTCCCCCTGGGGGGTGATTTCTGGCTTTCTGTCTCTCTGTCTCTATCTTTCTGGAGAGTGCACATGCCCTATAGCAAAAAAAACCCTCTCCCCTCCCCCCCCCAAAAGCTACTTTTAAGTTCTCGGTTGGCAGTGCCCATCCACCCCACCCCACATTTTTTCACTTACTAACATTACTAGCTATTTATAAGAACTTTTAAAAAAGATTTATTTATTTTTATTTTTATTCATCATCATTCTTCAATTTTGGTCAGAGAGAGACAGAGAAAAGGAGAGTGAGAAAGCAAGCTTCCAGGTTCTGGACTCGAATCGTGGCCAGACATGTGGGAGTCCAGTGCCACAACCACCACTCCACCTGCCAGTCCCTGTAAGAACTTTTGTTGAAGGCTTGCTTAAGGATTCACTTGCCTAACCACTGCTGTCCAAGTTATGACAAAGGGCAAATTACAAAGGGCAGACAATATTTTTAAAAGCTTCCTCCTAGCCAAGGACAAGTATAGAAGCAAGTTCAAAGGCAGTTTCAGCTGGGACTGCATTCTGCCTACCCGAGATGCGCATGATCACTGGTGACATGGACCTTCCCCCACAAGCAACTTAAATAACTTCGTATTTTCTGATAATTTACGTTAGCCAAGGTCAGCACACATAAAGGGATGACATGACTTCTCTTGGGGGAAAGAGCTTGAAGGACAGTATTTCAAGGACTTTGGCAGGGAAATGCAGGAGGCCAAGGTGGGGGGGGCAAGTGGCATTTAAAAAACAAGTGAGAATGGTTTCCTTCTTAGGCTGAGTATAGGACCATTTTTACAGTTTAAATTTTTCACACTTACATGTAAGACATTTCATTAAAATATATATCTTAAAATGACACTGGTATTTGGTATACAGACTGCCAAGGGGGAAAAGCAGGCTGACTTCAAAATAAAGCATTTTTCTTTCCATACAAAATTTTAGTAACAAAACCTTCTCATTTAGCCAAAGGCAAGTACAAGCTTTAAGAGACAATTAAGGGACCAGCAGGTGGCAGGGTGCTTAAGGCGCTGGACACTCCCACATAGCTAACCACTGTTCAAGTCCCAAACCTGGTGGTTTGCTTTCTCCCTTTGCCTTGCTCTGTGTCTCTCTCTCTGGTCAAATTTATGATTATAATTAAATACTGGTAATGTAACTTATAATTTTATTTTTTATTTTTTTAGAGGTTTTTGCTATAGGGTGTGTGCGCTCGCCAGACAGACAGAGAGAGACAGAGAGACAGAAAGCAAGAAATCACCCCCCAGGGGGGATGGCCATGCCACAATCCCTTCTCCTCCACTCTCCTTTGAGGATCTTGGGCATGCATGCACACGCGCCCGGCATGAGTTTTAAGCCACCGGGTCCGGGACGCGAACCATGGTCGACTACATGGGAGTCCAGTGACATAGCCATTATGCTAACTGCTGGTCCCGTAACTTATAATTTTATAAATATTTTTAAACTCAAACTCCAAGGGATTGTTTTCAAGTAGAATTCACATACCATAAACTTAACCATGCTAAAGTGCATAATTTTGTATATTCACAAAGTTGTGATACGACCCCTTCCCCCCCAAAGAAATCCATCCTCATTAGCAGTCATTCCTCATCCACCATCCTCTTCAGCCCTGGCTAACAGTCTTCATGGATTTGCCAATTCTGTACATTTCCTATAAAATGGAACCACACGAGGTGTGGCCTTCCTACATCTGGCTTTTTTCACTCTTCATAATATTTTCACAGTTCATCCACACAGGATGGCTGAGTGACACCCACCATATGGGTAGATCACATCTGTCCAGCAGTTGATGAACATTTGTATATTTCCACTTTTTGGCTATCACATAAGTAATGCTGCTCTGAATGTTCAGGCACCAGTTAGTGTGTGGACACACTTTCAATCGTTTTGGGCACAGACCCAAAGGTAGAATTGCTAGGTCACATCGTAACATTATGTGTACTTTTCTAAGACTCCATCTGCTTTTACACATATAATTGGGGCAGTTGACTTTGAAGAAATGTGTCTTGTTGGGGCCAGCAAGTGGCGTGGTGGTTGAGGCGGCTGGACTCCCAAATGGCTGACTGTGATTTGAGTCCTGGACCTGGCAGCTTGGTTTCTCAATTTTCTTCTGTCTCTCTCTGGTCAACTTCAATAAAATAAAAAAATAAATAATGATGACAATGAATACAATTTAAAAAATTTTAAAAATAAATGTGTCTTGTTTATAAGAAATAAAAATTATTTTTAAAGATTTATTTTGTTTTATTTTATTTATTCATTCATTTATTTTTTAATTTGACCAGAGTGAGAGAGACAGAGAGAGAGAGAGAGAGAGGGAAAGTGAGAAAGCAAGCTACCAGGTCCAGGACTTGAACCGTGGTCAGCCATGTGGGAGTGTCCAGAACCTTAACCACCATGCCACCTGCTGATCTCCTCAAAATTACTTTCCATATTCTTATAAATATTTATATCTTCAAGGATAGCAGAAAATGGACTTAAAAGGAAGGATAATTCCAATTTACAGTCATGTACAAAACCATGCAAATCAAACACTGTAAATCTTAGGTATAATAAGCATAAAAAACTGAGGGGCAACCACTAAGACTAAATTAAAAGGGGATTTCTGATTTCACTCATTTAACATATTACATTCTTATCTGAAATTCATGTAACCGGAAAGAGAAAACATACCCTTGAAAGCAGTCTTAGCCCATTTTCTGAACTACAGATAACATTATGTTGTCTCTAAAGTTTTGTACCTAATTTTAAAATAAACTGGTCACATAAAGATCTCGTTTTCATGGTAGTTTTTGATTGGACTGCATTACAGATGCGGACAAGGCTAGCCACAAATAAGCCAATCTTAACTATTCAGAGAAACAGGTGAGCTTCCTACTCTTTTTTGTTTTTTTTGTTGGCCTGGCGCGAGGTTTTTTTTTTTTTGCCTCCTGCACAGAACTGCAGCAGACTTGTAGACTGACTTCAAAGACAGGAGGTATACTGGCAGGCACCACTGAGGTGGCCCCATTCATAATCATTCGTGCTGCAGAAAATACAAAGATAAAACCAATATGTGGAAACGACCAACCACTGAGCAGGGATTATTACCTAAGGTTTTTTCTTTGTTCCTGTTGCACTCTGAATCTTGCTGACCATCAGGGGGATCTGTTCGAGCTTCTTGCCCAGGGATTTCCTCTCTTGGCTCTTGCGTGTGGTATGCTGCACTCAAATTCCTGTTCTTTGTTATAAAGTCACTGCCATCACCTTCTTGCAATGAATACGTGTTACTTGTGCCACCACAGTTTGAGTCTTGATGTTGAAGAATATCATCTGACTGAGAGTTACATAACATATCTGCTTTCACCCCTAGCCCACAAATTGCAGCTTCTTCCATTGTGCCAATTTCAAACTAGAGGGAAGGGGAAGGAGAAAAAAGATGAAGAAGAGGTTCAATCAAATGTAATCAATGTCTCCAACCAATGGTACATCACAACTTGACAGCTTTTTTCTTTTTTAGTGGTTTGTAAAAACTGATGCAAATAGGGGCCAGCAAGTGGTGAGGTGGTTGAGGGTGCTGAACTCTCACATGGCTGACCCTGGTTCAATTCCTGGACCTGGAAGCTTGCTCTCTCACTTTCTTGCCTTACTCTCTGTGTCTCTCTCTGGTCAAATAAAATAAATAAAGTTAAATTAAAGTTAAAACACAAAACTTAGTAGTACCAAAGGAGGCAAGCGATGTTATTTATTAGATTGTCTGGAAAGTCATTTTTGCATAGACAAACATATTCCTGATAACCTAATAGTTATATATTTCAACTTATTTTTCCTACAAATATGTGGCACTTAACATAATTAGCATCTTCTTTAAAAAATGTTTATTTAATTTATTCATTCACTTATTTTTTAATTTGACCAGAGATACACACACACACACACACATACAGAGGGAGAGAGGGAGGGAAAGTAAGAAAACAAGCCACCAGGTCCAGGACTTGAACTGTGGTTGGCCATGTGGGAGTGACCAGTGACTTAACCACCACACCACCTGCTGGCCCTCCATAATTAGCATCTTAACAGAAGCTAAATTATTGCCAAATTAATAAACATTATTCTTGTCTTAGACTCAAGAAGTCAGTACAGCAAGGATGGCCAGCTAGCTATCCATGCCCCTCTAATATCCTGAAGCTGGCACTACAGGACAAGTGCCTAGCCAGGGACTATATTTCCCATTCCCCTTCCTTCTAGGTGAACTCTCATGTTAAGTTCTCATCAATGGAATGTCTGTGGAGGTGAAGACTCTCCCTTCTGAAACAAGACTTTTATTCTTAGAAGCAAGCATTATTCTGGCCCACCATTGCTTCCCTACTCTGGCTGAATGCAGTGGTCTCCAAGATCAGCTAAAAGCAGATGGAGCCCCTAAATCCCATGTACATACAGAAAGTAACCTTGCCTACAAAGGAAACTCACACTAGGGGCCAGTCGGTGGCGTGGTGGTGAAGTCAGCTGAATTCCACATGGCCAACTGTGTGGTTCCAGTCTTGGACCTGGCTGCTTAAGAAACATGCCTGGGGGACCAGCAGAGGGCATAATGGTTACATCACTAGACTCCCACATAGTCGATCGCGGTTCAAGTCCTGGACTTGGCAGTATAAAACACACTGGGCATGTGTGTGTGTGCATCCCCAAAATCCCAAGAGAATAGAGAGGGGCTGCAGTGTGGCCATCCCCCCAGGGGATAATTTCTTGCTTCCTGTCTCCCTGTCTCTCTGGGGAGCACACGTGCCCTATAATAAAAATCTTTCTTTAAAAAGAAAAATACAGGAAACATTCATGACAAAGATGCCTTTACTCTAGCAATTTATTCTTGAATCAGTAATTTTATTTTCTCTTCTATTGGGTCTTCAGAAAAATCATGACACATTTTTGCATAGAAAGAAAAATACTTCATGACTTTTCCAATGACCCAATATTACACTGATAACCCTATTTATTTAGGTGGCTTTTTCCTCCCCCTTGTTAATAACAGTACTTGGTCATATGATGTGGCAGAAATTTAAATTCTGTGTATTTCCTCTCTATATGAAAAAAGCATCTCTTTTGAATTACACAGTTGAGTGGAGGAAGTGTCTAACTAATAACTTTCTCTTATCACAAGTAACCTGAAAGTTATTTTCGAAAATATACTGGGGAAAAAAATAAATAATTGGAAAGCAGAGATTTGTTAAACAGTATCCAACTGAAGTAATTAAAGGGATTTAAAGTATCACAGTTAAGGGGATGGAGAGGAGCCCAAAGATGGTGCAGTGGTTAAGGTGCTGCACTCCCACATGGCTGACAGCAGTTTGAGTCCTGGACCTGGTGGCTTCCTTTTCTCACTTTCTTTTACTCTCTCTCTCTAGTCAGACTAAAAAATAATAATAAATATGGGACCAGAAGGTGGCGTGGTGGTTAAGGCACTGGACACTCCCACGTGATTGACCATGGTTCAAGTCCTGAATCTGGCGGCTTGCTTTTTCACTTCCTCTCTCTCTCTGTCTGTGTCTTTCTCTGATCAAATTTAAATGAATGAATAAAATTTAAATAATAATAATAATGAATAAAGTGAAATAGTTCTTTAAAAAGGGGGGGTAGAGAGGATAAGGCAGATAAGCTCTTATCTTTTATAGTCCAACATTGATAAATCAAGTACTGTGCTTTTGGAAGAACTAACTGGCACAGGCACTGTGAAAAATTGGCAATATGGGTACCTTCTAACCCAGTTAACTCTACTCCTAGGAGTTTACCCAAGTGTGTACATATGTGCATCCAAAGGCCAAGAATATTTAAAAGCAGCACTATTTGAAATAGCCCCAAAATGGAATCAGCCCAAGTTTCTATCAACAGAAGATTGGATAAATGACAGTATGTTCCTACTATCCAGCTATGAGATTAACTACTGCTAGATGCAGTCACACAGATGAGTTTCACAGACCTAACGTGAGAAAGGTGCCTGAAGATTCCGTACTGTTGGAAACTGTTCACATACAAAAATGAAAATCAGGCCCCGTGATGGAGCTAGAAATCAGGATAGTATTTATTACTAGGGTAATAAATTTATTATTAGGGTAAGGGGGGGTGTCTTCTGGGGAGCTTGTTAATACTCTATTTCTTCATCTAGATGGGGTAAAACATTCAATTTGTGAGAATTCATTAAGTCTAAACATTTATGATTTCTATACTTTACTGAATATATGTTTTACTTCAACAGTGGGCTTTCATCTTTTTTTTTTTTTTAGTTTTTTTTTGTCATAGGGCATGGGCCCTCCCCAAAGAGAGGGACAAGAGACAGTGAGAGGTAAAGCGAGAAATCACCCCCCTGGGGAATGGTCACACTGCAATCCCTTCTCCATTTTCTTCCTGGGATTTTGGGAATGTATGCACACATACCCAGTGTGATTTTCAAGCCACCCTGTCAGGGACTCCAATACTTAACTACCACACCGCCTGCTGGCCCCCAATAGTATTTAAAACTTGCAATTGGCTCAGCCACAGGGATGCAGGCAGTAGGGGTGCTGCTACAGGATGTGTAAGACCATGCAGGAAGGCTCTGGGTTTACACATGGGGGTACCCACCAAGGTGCCAGGAGACAGGGTTGGGGGTAGGGAGAGAACAGTGCTATGAAGACCCTGTCTGTCAAGGGCAGGGTACCTCTCTCTGTCTCTCTCTTGAAAACAAACTTTAAAATGTAAAGCTTAGGAACCAGCAGATGGTGTAATGGTTGCATTGCTAGACTTCTACATGTCTGAATGCACTTTGAGTCCCAGACCTGGAGGGCTAAAACTCACGCTGGGCACACGTGTATGCATGCGTGCCCAAACTCTGGAGAAGGGACTGCAGTGTGACCATCCCCCCAGGGGGCGATTTCTTGCTTTCTATCTCTCTGTCTCTCTCTGTTTTTCTGGTGAGTGAATGCACCCTATAGCAAAAACCTCTCCAAAAAAAAAAAAAAAAAAAAAAGATAAAAAAAAAAAAAAAAGGAAAAAAA